CATTCAAAGCATCATGGGGTGCAGGAATGGCCATTTCATATCCAGTGCTCAATATACTGTACAGGGCATTTTAAACGTGACATTTTTAACCCAAGTCGTTCCCAAAGACAACATAAAGGTCTGAACCTATGGTAAAACAAGGCTGTTTTTATTGAGAATTGAATATTGTGTAAGGAAAGCGAACAGGATGACGTGTTTTGAGGCCAGAATGTTCAGCAAAAAACAACTGCACAAAGTGCTCATTTTACTTAAGAGCCAAAGACAATAAAATATACAGTAATTTCGGTAATTTGACATTACCATTACCATCAGGATTCATAACATCTTATAACCAGTAAAATTGAATTCATTGTCCTTAAAAAGAGAAAATATACATTACTCATGTACAATATAACGTTAGTACAGTAGGCTTTTATGACATGGCCATTGTGATTCATAAAGATCTTATAAAGATGATACTGTAGTTAAGGGGCAGAGAAAATATATCACTGCTGTTGGATTGAAACCTTGTATCTCCAAAATGAGAACTTCACAGAAGAAGAAAAAAAACATACTTCACTTTTAATGTAAGTCAATGGAATCAGACTTTTGAACAAGTCATTTTGGGCCGTTTCTTTTGGTTTATTCTTCATGAAATTTACACACACAGTAAAGGGCAACAGGCACTTTCAAATTATGTCAAAAACTGAAAAAGGTCAAAAATGGAGATACAATGTTTTGTTCTGACAGCAGCGGTGTATAAGTCTGTCCGAGTATCAGTATCAAAACCTTCACAATAAAGTAGATTTTGATTTTGGTGTTACCACAAAGTGTCAAAGCATCTTTTTAGAAGTTCTCACCTTTGATTTCAAAACCAGCCTCACTTTGTCAAGAACAAACAACATCTCAACATCAAACATGTGTAACATCTCCATTTTGTGTTTGCCATACCAAAAATACACTGAGCCCATTGTTAATTGTCATTTCACCCCAGAAAGAATTGTGGCAGCAATAATCTGACACTTAATGTTGGTGTTTTGTCAGCTTGCCACTGAAGTTGACACAAGCCTTTGTCAGCTGTCATGAAAGACTGAACATGAACATGACCTACAGTAAAGTGTTACTGAGTTCACAATGAGTCACTAATATATCAAGATGTGCTCCATACTCCGTACACAGTAGATGTTTTAGATAAGAAGACCTAAGGGAATCCCACTATGTGTTCCTTAAAATGAAGTGTAACCTTTTTGTCAATAATTAATTAACTGCTGTTGGTGCTGATCTTTTTTTAAAGGTTGTTTACTAGTTTGAATTCATGGTATATTCTTAACTTGATCATTAATATATCTTTTATGCCTCAATTAGTCAGTCTTATAATTGAGTAATTTACTGGTAAAACGGCTGTTTTAAGTTAAATTTGAGTTTAGGCCTACTTATTTCAAGATGAGCCAACTTGTTTTCAGGTAACAGCATAATCACCCCATTAGTGTTAGTCATTTTCACTTAAATGAGTGATTTATATTCTTGTTTCTTGGCCTTCAGTTTTTCAGTGTGCTAAAATTAAGAATGCAAAAAAATTGAATTAAGAATTATTTGTTAATATTCAGTACATTTCACTTGTTATTGTGCTGTTGCAAGTCTGATTTCAAGTAATTTGATCTAACAATATTTGATCTAAAAAAAGCATATTCTACTTATTTCAAACCTTTGAACACTTATCAGAGCCTACTTATTTCTAGACTGGAGCCAACCTATTTTAAGATTTCCTGTCAAGTAAAATATATTTTGCTGCATGGACAGATATTTTCACAAGTATTAAGTCATTTTCTCCTCAAATTCAGTTTTTATTTCTTGAATTTTAGCTAATCTTCAACATTCAGGAAGAGTAAAAGTACAACAACAAGACGAGAACCAGAGTCACAAGCGGAGCCTTTATTATTCTGTAACATTTAAGAAAGAAAGTTTGTTGTGAGGTATAAAAAAAGCATCCCAGAGAGTCTTTCAGAAGTAAAGATGAGGAGGGGTTCACACCTCTGTGAAAGACTGCACGATCAAATAATGCAACAATTCAAGAATAATGTTTCTCAACATAAAATAGCAAAGAACTTGGTGATTTTATCATCTAGAGTATATAATATCATTAAAAGATTCAGAGAATCCTGAGAAATCTCTGTATGCAAGGGACAAAGCCAAAAAACTATATTGGCTATCTGTGATCTTTGGGCTCTCAGGTGGCACTGCACTGCAACAGATATGATTCTGTAGTGGAAATTACTTCATGGGCTCAGAAACACTTCTGAAAACCACTGTCAAATGCTAATTAAAACTCTAAAACACAAAGAAGAAACCATATATAAACAGGATCCAGAAACACTGCCACCTTCTCTGGGCCAGAGCTAGAAAAGTGTCCTGTGGTCCAACGAATCAAAATTTGAAATTCTTTTTGGAAATCATGTACACTGCATCCTCCAGGCTAAAGACCACCTGGCTTGTTATCAGTGCACAGTCCAAAATTCATGATGGTATAGGGATGCATTAGTGCACATGGTATGGGTGACGTGCACATCTCTGAAGACACCATTAATGCTGAACAATATATACAGGTTTTGGCAACATACACTGCCATTCAGACAGCATCTTTTTCAGGGAAGGCCTTGATTATTTCAGCAAGATAATGTCAAACCACATTCTGCATGTATTACAACAGCATGGCTCTATAGTAAAAGAGTCCCGGTGCTAAACGGACCTGCCTGCAGTCCAGATCTGTCACCTGTTGAAAACATTTGGCACATTATTTGCCTCCCACTGAAAATATTTGGTGCATTATGAAATTAAAAATACAACAAAGGAGACCCAGAATTGTTGAGCAGCTGAAATCCTATTTCAAGCAAGAACAGGAAAACATTTCACTTTCAAAACTACAGCAGTTGGTCTCCTCAGTTCCCAAATGCTTACAGAGTGTTGTTAAAAGAAGAGGTGATGAAACACAGTGGTAAACATGCCCCTGTCCCAACTTTTTTGGAATGTGTTGCTGGCATCAAATTCAAAATGGGCATATATTTTTCAAAAAACAATAAAATTTCTCAGTTTCAGTATTCGATATGTTGTTTTTGTACTATTGCTTGGCATTCAATCTGATATGTGCCGGTTAGCTTGGTTTCTGTATTCTTTCTACAGAAGAGATGTTTTTTATAGACTGATACAGACTCTTTTTGTTCCATGACAATGAATGTGCCAGTTCTTCCTTCCCATGTGTAGAAACCTTTTATTCGCATGCTGAAACAGGAAACGGACCAGTTTCATTCTGTGAAGTTGATCCACAGTTTTCACCTTTTACTTACCATTGCCAAACTCCTGCAATGGGAAGCTGATTAGAGCTGAACGTTTAATGCTTTTCTTTTGGTAGTATCATTATATTTCAGCCAATTACAGCAACCATAGATATCTTGTGACCACTTAAGACATCAGTTCAAGAGGTTGACACAAGCTTTAATTTGCTTATGTGTGTATTTAAGGCAAGGGTCCAAAATCCCAATCCTGGTGACCCCACACTATGCACGTTTTTGTGCTGGCTCCCATCTAGCACACCTGATTCAACTCATTTCCTCATTAACCAGCTTCGCGTATGTTGGGTCAGGTGTATAGAGTGGAGAAACCCTAATTTAGGGAGTGTTTGATGCCTTAGATAACTTTGATACAAATAAGGGAAGAAAGCAGAATAAATCATTAGTAATTAGTATACCATTATATATTTGTATGTAAATATATTGAAATGAGATATTGCTGTTATTATCTGGAAACACATTCTGTGCAGATTGGATGATGTTCTACATGTAGTGCAAAATTACACATATATATCTTCGTACATCAAATACATTGTAGTGTATTCAAAAAATGTGTGTCATATTAATTTCAGGTGAAGTGTTCTGCAGCATTTATTTAAAGAGTTATTCTGCTAAGGACTCTTATTCTGAAGGGCAGGCGTTAGCCCACTAGCTGTGTTTGTGCCTGTAGAAAAAGAAGAACTGGCTTAGTTGGAACTGAGTGCTGATGGAGTGCAGATGTGAGCTGAGCGTAGAGCTTAGGCTTAGAGTGAACTGTTAGCCAAAGCTCACCTTGTGCACAGCGTAGCTGTGGTCAACTACAGCTAGTTAATAAAGCACATGACTTGTGCATAACCTGTGTTATCTTTCCTAGCAATTAATGCTACAATATGCATATCCAACCCTATTTTTAATGCTATTTAATAACACTAGCTGTCATTTACATTGTGTGAAAGTTTAATGACAAATGGACCAAAATCAATGGTTCAAAATGGCTTAAAATTGGAGCTGGGAGTTAATCCCAAAAAAAAATCAGTGTCTAAATTCCAGTCCACTCCAAAGCTTTGGACTTGATTCCTCACAGTGATGTTCAATTTTGCAGCCCCTTGTGCAAAGATATTCTGCTGACAGTCTGTACGTAAAATGCATCCTTACACAACTTACACATCAATAGACCGTCCATAGTCTACTGTAGACAAAATGTAAAATTTGTAAGAAAATCAAATTCATACAAACAACATTGTCAAAGCCAAAACATCTACCCGTCTGAAGGAGTTGACAGATGTTAGGACTGCTGGTTTTGGTCAACGTAGTATTTGAAGAGTGTGAAAACATACACACCTATCAGTGACCATGTCAGTGTCACTGCTGTGCAGAGAATGGTCCACATCTCAAATAATATCTGGCCAATGGGGGTCCTACGATGGTCAGTTGGCTGACAGATTGTACAACCTACAAAGTGAACCTTATATGGTAGGTGTTTCTGATAAAGTAGCCAATGATTGTAGATACAAGGTCAGTGTTTCTAATAAACTGTCAACTCAGTGTTGTTTGCTTTCTTTCTGTTGAAGCTTATTCTTGTGGAATTTATGATAAATGACATTCCTCCCTCTCCCCCCTCACTTTTCTTGTGATTGCTCAATCGTGGATTTTCAGGTTCTTGTTCAAAGTCTAAACTTGTTGTGGAGACGTGATCAGGAGGGCTGGCTCTGCCCTGTGTAATCTGTTTAAAGGCGGAACATGAAGCAGTGGGACTCAAACTATGGGTGTAATCAAAGCTCTGAAACAAGCGTCTTTTTCTGAATAACATTCAAGGTGAGTTCTTTTGGCATGTGCATGCAATACGTATTTAGATATTAGATATTTAGCCAAAACTTATGTCTTTGTTCGTATGTAGTAGCACAGTAACATATTAACTACCTATTTAATTTGTTTATGCATCAAAATGTAAAGAAAAATGCTCCTTTCTGCTGCAGAATAATGAAGACCCTGACTGTGACTCTCCTTCTTGCCATGCTGTTGATGAGTGGTGAGTGTTGAAGGTTCCACTTCAGTTAAAAGAAAAGCCTGTTTCACACTTATAAGCAACATGTTATATTATGTACAGTACTGTGCAAAACTCTTAGTCCACTTTAGAAAATCATATGTAAAGTTGTTTTTTTGGCCAGTGAGTTAGTAAAATAAATATGAATAAATAATAAATAATATGTGATTTTCTCATCATAGTTCAGTATTTACAGTTACCATCCAATAACTGCATCAACAACTCAGTCCTAAATTTAGTCCTTAAACCAGTTGTGCTGCTGATGGAATTTAACATGTCCAGACAATGACTGGAAAACACAGAGACGTCAGGAACCAAACCTGAGCTCCAAGATATCAATAACTTTTTTAACTAATGTACTCTTTGTTGCTGTTTATGTTTATTTGCATGTACTGTAATGTTATATAATGATTTTACAGGAAAAAAAAACACTTTGCAAGAGTTTTGAACAATTTCCATGGCTGGCCTAATGCTGCACTCAACTAAAGCTTGTAACTACAAATTTCTGAAGTTTAGGAAAACTTTTGACCTCTAGGACCAACTAGGAAAAACCAGACAAGACCCCATAAGCTGGGAATTCCTGCTTGGAAAGTCAGATTTTAGCATATGAGGTCATATCAACACGCAAGCTACTCACACTGTCATCAGTAATAAAGTACTTTTCTACTTTTAAGTACTTTTACTTTTAATGTTACGGAGTTGTAAAATCTGGAAACATTTTATTTCAATGGCCAACTGTATGCTTTGTAGAGACTTACCTTACTTTTAACTTACATTTAACTGAAACTATTTATTAAATTCACCTTAACTTTCTCTAACTCTAACCCTGTCCTAAGCTTGACCCTTGGTCCAAATTCTGACCCAAACCTTAACACCAGATAGTTTCACCATATAGTTTCCTGTTACACTTATTGATCTTGAACTGCATTATGTAACCTTGGCAGCAACTATTCAAAGTTATCAGTCAGTGGTTACAGTGCAGTAAATGGATTTTGGTGAATGGCATTAAAAAATGTAATATTTAGTAACAAAATGAAACTGAAAGTTTTGATTCAGGTTTTAAAAAGCTGACTGTTCCTCAGTGTTCTGCTTCTCACTCTGTTGCAGGTTCTGCCCTGAAATGTAACAACTGTATTTCATCTCCTCATGGGGGCCGTTGCGTTATCACGACGGAAAGCTGTGGCTTTGGGAAAGACACCTGCATCTCTGCTATTTTCAACACATACCCCTGTAAGTCTCATTTAGCCTCTTAGCTCACCACTCAGCTACATCTGTTCCCAGTTTGTCACACCTGCAAACACTGTCAACATACCAGAGGAGATTCTGCCAAAAGACAATTACAGTTTTTTTGTGGAAATTACAATAGACTAATTTTCAGTGCACAAAAGCTCTAAAGGGCCATGAATTGGTGTTTAGAAAATAACATTTGTGTCATGACTATGATGCAAATAGCTTGATATCTCAAAAACAAATCAACATAACCCATAGGAATATGTAAAAAAATGTGTGAATCCATGACTCTTTAGGGGCTTTTGGGGACCAGGATGGTAGGTAAAATGCAAATAAAAACAGAAAGCAGTGATTTATAAATCTACTTTGACCTGTATTTGAGAAAAAAAAAAACTGTACAAAAACAAGATATGTAATGTTTTATCTTATCAACTAATTTTTTTTGTAAGTATACACTCACTCTGAAATTAACAAAACTAGCTTACAAAAGCACTACATTAAAACCTGCATGTTTCTGTGCTGGATATCACTGCATGTGCTCAAGAAAACCTTGAAAAACCATTATCAATAAACATTGTTTTTTGCTGCATCAACAAATGCAAGTTAACACTATACCATACACTGTGAAAGTCATATGTCAATAGCATTCATAAATACCACCATCTTCTCTGGGCTCATGCTTAGCTGAAATGAACTGATGCACGGTGGAAACGTGTGCTGTTGTCTGATTAGGCAACTTATCAGATTGTTTATGGAAATAATGGACGTTGTGTTTTCCGGGCCAAAGAAGTAAAAGACCATCCAGATTGTTCAAAATCCAGTGTCTGTCATGTATAGAGGGGGGTATTAATAGGTAACTTGCACATCTGTAAAGTCACCATTAACACTGAACACATTTGGAACAACATGTTCTGCCTTCTAGACAACGTCTTTTTCAGAGACATTTGTGTTTATTTCAACAAGACTACACCAAGCCACATTCTGCACACATCACAACAGCATGGCTGCGTAATCTGAGTGTGGGTGCTAGACTGACCTGCCTGCAGTCCAGAACTGTCTCCCATGATCCCAATGTGACTTATTAAGCTCAGAATAAGACAACAACCATACGGTTGCACAGTTGAAGACGTGTATAACAGACGAATGGCAAAAAATTTCACTTTCAAAACTGGATCAGTTGGTGTCTTTAAGTGGTGTTAAAAGGATGGTGATGTAATACAGTGGTAACCATGCTCCAACTTTTTAAAATGAGTTGCTTACATAAAATATAGGATAATAATATATATACAAAACATTACAAAAGGTAACATCAAGTATTTTGTCTTTGTACAGTTTTCAGTTCAAAACAATTTCAATCAGAATTTACTAATCAATGTTTTCTGTTTTTATTGGCATTTCACACTCTGTCCCACCTTTTTTGGAATTGATGTTGTAATTTGTATTTCTATAGCTTAAAACAACTGCAGTGAAAGTACTTTACACAAAACAATCATATGAGGTCAAAATTAAAAAGGAGAACCAACAAGACAAAACAAGGAAGGAAAAACGACAGATGATGTTAAACCCAGGAAAAATGTTTAGAGGCTTAAAAACAAGAAAGAAGGGAAACACAAGACAGGACAAAACATTCACATCAGATGGCCACAGCTATTTTAAAAGCAAAACAATAGAAGTATGTTTTAAGTTTCGACTTAAAGGACTGTAGGGAAGACGCACGTCTGATATCGATAGGGAGGCTGCTCCATAGCGTTGGGCCTGCTATTGAGAGAGCCCAGTCATCCTTTAGGTTTTTCTTAGAATGTGGGGCCCTTAAGAGAGACTGATCTGAGGATCTCAGGGGACTTGATATCATATAAAGCTGAAACATGTCTCATATATAAATGAGGGGCTAGTCCATTCAATACTTTAAAAACCCACAATAAAACTATTTTAACAAATAATTGAGTAAAGGAAAAACAATAAAACAAACAATACAAATGGACTTAACTGAACAATAAAATATCACACAGAGCCTTAAAGATACTTTATTGGGAAAAAAAATACTAGGAATAACTATGAAGATTTTAAAGACTTCTTAAAAATTCAAAAAACAATATTGGGCAAAAAAGCCTGTGAAAAGGTTTCTTTATCAGACTCTGTTTCTTTCTGTAAGAGAAAACAGTAGGAGAACTAAAATATGCATCATTATCATGTGATCAGCTGATCTGATCACTGCCAGTTCATCAAGAAGATGCATTTGAATCTGTTTATATTTTTTCGTTGATTAATCAACTAATCAAGAGTTTTTATAGTATAACTTGTTTATTGGGACCTGAGGTGACTATTAAAAGTGTTTCTTCCCTTTTTCTCTTCAGTTTCCTATTTCAGGAGGTGCATCAGCATGTCTGACTGCCTCATCTTGCAGGCAACTCTAAACATCAATGCCCGATGCTGTCAGACTGACCTTTGCAACTAGGTCACCGAGAGTGGACCATGCTTGAAACTGGCAAATTAATCAAAACAGTAAATTTAGTAATAAAATCTGATTTGCTTATGATTCAAATGGCTGTGACTGCATTTTTTATGTATTCAGCAACAGTACGAGCAGCTAACTGTTCCAAATGAGCCTAAATGAGTATTTTACAACTGTCCAAAATACAAAAACACCTGAAGTAATACAAAATTCAACTTCCAGTTTATTACTACTATTACTACTACTATTACTAATACTACTAACAACAAGAACAAGAACAATAATAATAATAATAATAATAATAATAATAATAATAATAACAATTAGCGAAGTGCTTATTAAACATTTCTAAATCAATGCACTTGAATTGTAGGTCATTCCTTTCATCAACGTCCGATGCTGTCAAATCAACGTATCATGATGTGTTGGTGTGTTTTTATCCCAAACAATTCTGCATTTCCCTCCTCTCTTATTCTGCTTGTGCTCTGATCACTGATACTTCATTTACCTGAGATTCATCGATTGGCTGAAGTAAACTCATCTCCTGTGCATTAACAATTTTAGGCTACAGAATTGGGGCCCAAAATACAGTATTCACTGTGTGATGTTCCTCAGTCTGCCAGGCTGTTTACTATTGCCCAGCACCTCAATGGCTTCCTCTTAATGAAGTAATAATCTGTTACCCCAGCAGAGTTTGATGCTGATTTCCTGTCTGTTGAAGGGTTACTTTTATTTTTATGCAACCTAATTCACAATATCATGTCCTAACAGTCAAACATACTACTACCCTCAACCTTTTACACTCACTTTCTGAAAGTAACACATTTGTGATGAAACAATATGAAACATAAAAGTGTGAACAAATAAAGGAAGGTTTATATTAAATTTAGGGACAGTATATATTAACATACACTATATGTTTAAAAGTTTCTGGACACTCATCCGGTATCTACTGAAGTCAAGGGTATTAATAGAGAATTTGTCTCTCTTTGCTGCAGCAACAGCCTCTACTTTTCTGGCAAGGCTTTGCACTAGATGCTGGAACATTGCAGTGAGGATTTGATTGCATTCAGCCACAAGAGCATTAATGAGGTCAAATACTGATGTTGGATGATTAGTTCTAGATCACAAACTCCACTCCAACTCATCCCAAAGGTGTTTGAAGGACATCCATCGCTCCAGAGAACACAGTTCAGCTGCTCCTCAGCCCAGTGCTGGGGAATTTTATGCCCCTCTAGTATTAGGCATAGTGACATTAGACTAATATTCAGCTGCTCCAGAGCATCCCATTTTACTGACAGTGCTTTTCTATGCAGATTGTACAAGCTGTTTGTGCACAATTGAATGCCTGTATTAGCAAGTAGCTGAATTCACTCATTAGAAGAGGTGACTGGATATTTTTGGACATTTAGTTTATATTTAATATATATGGGACATATAATTATTACATATAGGTACTTACATATATAATGCACATGGGGCTTTTTTATGACCCCATGTCCTGACATGAATATGTATGATTTGATATATCTATAAAAAACAAATGTTTGAGTGTGTGTGTGTGTGTGTGTGTGTGTGTGTGTGTGTGTGAGGTGGAGCTAAATAAACTTTGTAAGAATCAGTGCTTTGTTTCAGGTTTGGCTTTGGAAATTACCACCGTTCGCCTTATGAAGCAATGTTTACATGAAAGATCTCATGTTGCAATCCTCGTGTAGTGAGAAAGTTGATGTCAGAAATAGTTGGCCTGAAGCCTGAAGCCTGTAAACTGGACGTGAAACCTGGAACCTGGTGTCTGAATAAATCCACTGTCAGACATCACCTCCATCACTGTTTGGAAGAGATCCACAAAAGAAGCCTTTTCCTAAAAGCAAGCCACAAAATGCAGCACCTGAACTTTACAGAAGGTCATTGGAACTACAAATGCCATTGTGAGATGTGGTAAGATGAGACAAAAATGGACCTTTTGGTCATGATCATCATGATCACACATTTGTCAACTGCATACAATGAAAAGCACCTGATACCCACTGTCAAATATGGTGGTGGATCATTGATGCTTTGGAGCTGTTTTGCTGTTAAATGTCCAGGAGCTCTTGTAAAAAATCAACCCTTTTAGCAAGATACTGACTCCCAGCACACACCAGAATCCACAGAGAAATGGACCACCTGCTGACCAGATAGTACTTAGGTGGTGGATCATTCTTGATTTGAGTTTTTTACTGTATACACTTTTTGGCCACTTCATTAGAAAACACTACCTGTAGGTGTACGGTTAGAGACTACGACTCCTCTTTTTTACATGTACAATTTGTGTTAGTCATCCTTTAGCCCTTCATCAGGGGTCAGACCATTCAGTGAGTATGTTAGTGTCAGTGCTGTGTAGAGAATGGTCCACCTCTCAAATAATAGCTGGCCAGTGGTGGTCCTATGGTGGTTGGATGGCTAAGAGATTGTACAATGTACAAAGTGAACCTTATATGTAGGTGTTTCTGATAAATTGGCCAATGAATGTAAATATTGACTGTAGAAACTGGCTGTGGAGACATGTGATCAGGAGGGCTGGCTCTGCCCTGTGTAATCTGTTTAAAGAGGGAACGTGTAACAGTGGGACTCAAACCAGGAGCGTAATCAAAGCTCTGAAACAAGCGTCTACTTTTGCTGAATAACATTCAAGGTGAGTTCCTTTGGCATGTGCATGCAACCAATATTGACTCCTTTGAGATGTTGAGTTCTTTTAAGTAGTTTTAAAAATGCTTTGACTATTTTCTTTCATACTGATGTTGATGTTGAATGAAATGTCATCGTATCTCTTTGTTTTCATTGTGAAAGTCCTTTAGCCATGTCTTTTTTCATATGTAGTAACAGAGTAACATCCAAACTTGCTCCTCACTGATTTGCATCAAAATGTAAAGAAAAATGCTCCTTTCTGCTGCAGAATAATGAAGACCCTGCTTGTGGCTCTCCTTCTTGCCATGCTGTTGATGAGTGGTGAGTGTTGAAGGTTCCACTTCAGTTAAAAGAAAAGACAGTTTCACACTTATAAGCAACATCAAGTCTGTCATTCACAACCAGAAACCTTGTGAAAAAACGATTGCAAGCTGCAATCATTCTGTGTGTTACATGGTGTACAGCACTGTGCAAAAGTCTCAGACTACTTCAGAAAATCATATGTAAAGGTGTTTATTTGGGCAGGGAGTATAGGAAAATAAATATAATTTTAATATATATATATGCTATATATTTATATAATACTACACTATTACTACTAATAATAATTATAATAATAATAATAATACATGATGATTTGACAGCTTAACTATTTTAAGACCTCTCAGCAAAGTCCTGTCTTTACAGTTACCTGCTTCTGCTAATCAGTCCTTCATTAAATTAAATCAGGTGTGATGGAATTTAACAAGTCCATACAATGACTAGAAAACACAGAGAGGCCAGGAACCAAAACCTGAGCTCATAACTTTTTCATAAATACAAAATTCTGAGTACTCTATCTTGCTCTTTATGTTTATTTGCATGTACTATAATGTTATACAATGTTTTTACAGGTAAAAAAAACACTACAAGAGTTTTAAACAATTTTCATGGCTAGTCTAATGCTGCATTTGACTAAAGCTCGTGACTCAGATTTTCTGACGTCTAGGAAATTTTCTGACCTCTGGAACCAACTAGGAAAAACCAAAGAAAAACCCTATCAGCTGTGAATTCCTGCTGGGAAAGTCCAGCATTTGACATCATATGAACTGTATTTTTCATATTTTTATTTTTGTTCCATTTGATACTATTGATGATGTTCATAAGTTGTTTTGACTGTCCTTTTTATAGACTCTATTTTATTTATTACCTTATGGGTCAATGGGTGCCTTGAAATGTGCTTATATAAAAAAGTCTATTATTATTATTATTATTATTATTATTATTATTATAAAACATAGAAATGCGTAATTTGGAGAGCCCACTATAGATGCTTTGTAGATGCTTACCTAACATTTACCTTACATTTAACTAAATATCTATTACACCTACTTTAAAGTTCCCTAACTAAACTAAGCTTAACCCTTGTCATAATCCTGACCTTAACCTTAACACTGTTGAGAATCAACTCGCCACATAGTTTCTTGATAAATTTGAACATCTGAAGATAAACTAAACTATAAACTGCAAATAAAGAGGCCTGAAATACTAAGTAGAAAGGGTTGTGCAGTTAATTAGTAATGTAGTTCATTAAGATGCAGTGGCGGACTGAACTGCTGCTGCGTTATTCATCTTTGCAATAACTAGTCAGTTATCAGTCAGCAGTTACAGTGCAGTAAATGGATTTTGGTGAATGGGATTATTCACCAAAGAGCGCTCCTCACTCTTGTTGCAGGTTCTGCCCTGAAATGTAACCGCTGTGTTCCGCGTCCTGGGGGCCGTTGCACTACCACCACGGAAACCTGCAGCTTTAACCAAGACGCCTGTGTCTCTGGCATGTTCACCAGATTCCCCTGTAAGTCTCTTCTTCTAGCGCACCACTCAGCTATGTCTCCTCTCAGTTTACCACACGTGAAAAACACTGTCAACATGCCAGAGGAGATGCTGTCAAAGTAAAATTATTATTAGGAAAGACTCATCATACTTCAGTGTACAGTTAATTCCAAGTGCCAAGTGTTTATTCTGCAAAACATTTAAAACAACTGCAGTTGCACCAAAGTGTTTTACACCAAAGAAATCGTATGAGATCACCGATGAAACTAAAATAAAAAGGGAGAACCAACAGGATCAAACAAGGAGGGAAAAACAACAGACAATGTTAAACCCAGGAATAAAATTAGAGGCTTAAAAAAAGGAAGTCTGGAAACAGAGGACGACACAAAGCATTCACATCTGATAATGTCAGCCATGTTCAAAAGCCGAGCAATGTGAATATGTTTTAAGTTACGACTTACAGGACTGTAGAGAAGATGCACTTCTGATCTCGACTGGAAGGCTGCTCCATAGCTTCCATACATAAACAAGGGACCAGCCCATTCAGTGCTTTAAAAACTGGCATTTTAACAAGTAACCCAGAAACAGCAGGACAATGAAACAAACAAGCAATACAAATGGGCTTAACTGAACAAAATCTTGCAAAGCCTTTATTGGACAAAAAGCTAGGAGTAACTAGGAAACCATTTAAAAGACTTTTAAGGACTTTAAAAAAATATATTGGGCAAAAAGCCCAAAGGTCATCATCATCGTGCAAACTGACAGCTGATCACTGCCAGTTCAATAAACACTCAAAGAATGATGGATTTACCTAAAAATGTTCTGCCAAGTGGTTCCACACAACTGTGTTAAGTAGCCTTTAAGATGCTCAAATGAGCAAAGTAGAAAAGGAACAAGAACTCTTACTCACACAGCTAACAACAACATGTCTGAGTGTATTGGGATCTGAACTGACTATTAAAAGTGTTCCTTCTCTTTTTCTTCTTTTCTTTTCCTTTTTGTTTCTCTCAGTTACCTATTTCAAGAGGTGCATCAAATTGTCTGAATGCCTCATCATGCAGCGCACTTCTTACATCAATGCCCGCTGCTGTCAAAGTGACCGTTGCAACTAGGTCACAGAGAGTGGATCACAATTGAAATGGCAAACAGAAAATTCATCAAGTATTAAATCATAAGTAATAATACATCATTTAGTAATAAAATCTGATCTGCTTACGATTCAAATGGCTGTGACTTTGTTATTATTTTAACACGATGTTTGCAAATGATGTAAAAAACATAAACGGTGAAGTTTTGTCCAGACAATCTATTTTTGCTTTTGTCCAGCAATATATTAATTCTATAATAATAATAATGACAATTATTATTTATTATTATTAATAATAATAATAATAATAATAATAATGCAATCTTTCATCTCCGAATCAACATGTCATGAGGTATTGACGAATTTTTATCTCAAATAATTCTGCATTTCTTTGTTCATCATTGTTACCTTTTCTAAACAAGCTTTTTGAATTGGCTCCTGTAAACTCATCTCCTGTGCATTAACAAAAGCCTTTTATTTGTTGGAAAACAGCCTAAAATATCAATGTGTCACACTTTACCAACTCAGCTAATCCACTTCACCAGAATTAGGGTCCAAAATACAGTATTCACTGTGTGATGTTCCTCAATCTGCCAGGCTGTTTACTATTGCCAAGCACACCAATGGCTTCCTCTTAATGATGTAATAAGCAGTTACCCCAGCAGAGCACAATACTGATTATCTGTCTGTTGAAGGGTTTCATTTATTCTTATGCAACCTAATTCACAACATCATGTCCTAACATGTCAAAACATGTAAAAGTCAAACATGATAAACTGACACTCTTAGCAAGATTTTGACCTGACCTGTGACAGATGGCCCCAGTGCCAAAACTTATGTTAAAGGTTTTGCAGTTCTGATCACTGCATTCTTTATGGACTTTTATTTTCATTACAGTATCAGACGTCCTGGGCCAACCAATGAATCCATCTCCTCTTACAGTGAACTCTGTAGCACTGGTTGCTATACAATTGACTCTTGTACACAGAAAAAGCACAACCCTCCTACTTACACTCACTGGATTAGGGATATTCTAGCTTTTCTTAGACATGAAAAAAATAAATACACTATTCACAGCTCTATCAGTAAATATTACAAAGTATGGCAACCTTTCAACCTTCAACATTTGGATACAGTAAGTCTAGACCCGTGAGAGTGAACTGTCCTTTCTTAAAGGTTTTATTACACACTTCTATAACCTAAGAATAGCTTAGCCAGTTTGCATTCATGCAAGTCCTTGTTGTTACTATAATAAGTCTAGTTAGTACACTGTTAGAAATAATGGTTCTTTGTAGGTACATATTCTGTTCATCAAGGTACAAACAATATAAATGTTCCCTTAAAGGTACAACAGTGGTTTTAAGGTCCAACTGTGTACCTTGAATACATTTTGTGGAAAAGTACATATCTGTACCTTTTCAAAAAAAAATGTTTAAAAACAAAACAATAAAATAAAAAGCCTGCAGGTGAGACGGGGTGTGTGGAGTTAATACAACTTAGAAAATATCATTTCAATGGATTATGGTACAATTATGTTCCCTGACTAAAGATACTGAGATGTACCACCCCAGACAGGATGGGTACTGCCCCAGTGACAGTTTTGTACCTTTGTTTTGAGAGTGTATGTAATAAGCCTGGGATTTTAAGTGGTTAATGCTTCACTGCTCTGTACTATTGTACTACTGTAGGCTATTCTTCTTTTTCTACATTTATGTGGAGCCATGCAGTGGTATAAGGCAAGATTGATATGTATTACCAGCAGACTGCCCCCTTTCCCTTGTCTAATGAAATATCTTTGTTTTTATCTTTTACTGCGCTTTTCTTTTTAGATTTTTGTATCTACACAATAACAAATACATTTCTTATATACAGCAGACTCTTGGAGTTCTGTAAATGTTTTGAAATGTCAGCAATAAATAAAACATTGACAAAAAAGTTTTGTTACACTCACTGTCTGATATTCGCACAAATTTGTTGTGCAACAATATGAACTATGAAAGTGTAAGAAAATGAAGAAAATGAACTGTTAGAAAATGTTGTGTTTGTCTTTCTCCAAGGCAAAACCTGAGAGGGCCGTGTTCAGAATGAGAAAATACACATTAAATTCTGGACATTTATCCAGTGTTTCTTCTGAACCCACTGCGCCACCGTGCCGCTTTGTTCATGATTCTATATAGAACCATATTTTTTACTAAGGAACCCTTGAAGAACTATCATTTTTAGGTGTGTATTCAGTTCAAAGGCAAGATATCAAATTTTGAAACTGAGAGATTGTATTGTTTAATGAAAAATATATGCCCATTTTGAATTTGATGCCAGCAACACAAGTTGGGACGAGGGCATGTTTACCACTGTGTTGCATTACCTCTTCTTTTAAAACACTCTGTAAGAGTTTGGGAAGTGAGGAAACCAATAGCTGTACTTTTGAAAGTGAAATATTTTCTCATTCTTGCTTAATGTAGGATTTCAGCTGCTCAACAGTTCAGGGTCTCCTTTATTGTATTTTTCATTTTATAATGTGCCAAATGTTTTCAAAGAGGCTCTTTTTACTGCAGAGACATGTTGTTGTACAACCCTATTTCCAAAAATATTTGGACGCTGTGCAAAATGTAAATAAAAACAAAATGCAATGATGTGCAAACCATTTAAACCCTATATTTCATTGAAAATAGTACAAAGACAACATATCAAATGTTGAAACTGAGAAATTTCAGTGTTTATTTTTTTTTTGGTAAATGGCCATTTTGAATTTGGTGCCAACAACACGTTCCCAAAAAGTTGGGATGGGGGCAATAAAAGGCTGGTAATGTTGTGTAATGCTAAAAAAAACACCTGGTGGTTATTTGGCAACAGGTCAGTAACATGATTAGGTATAAAAAAGCATCCCAGAGAGGCTGAGTCTTTCAGAAGTAAAGATGAGGAGGGGTTCACCACTCTGTGAAAGACTGCACGAGCAAATAGTGCAACAATTCAAGAATAATGTTTCTCAACATAAAATAGCAAAGAACTTTTGCTTTTCATCATCTACATACATAATAACATTAAAAGATTCAGAGAATCTGGAGAGATCTCTGTATGCAAGAGACAAGGCCAAAAACCAGTATTTGCTGGCCTTCGGGCCCTCAGGCAGCACTGCATTAAAAATGATTCTGTAGTGGAAATCACTGCATGGGCTCAGCAACACTTCTGAAAAACACTGTCTGTGAAAACAGTTCATTGCTGCATCCACAAATGCTAATTAAAACTCTTAAACGCAAAGAAGAAACCATATATAAACAGGATCCAGAAATGCTGCCACCTTCTCTGTGCCTGAGCTCATTTAAAATGGACTGAGGGGAAGTGGAAAAGTGTCCTGTGGTCCGACAAATCAAAAATTGAAATTCTTTTTGGAAATCACGGACACTGCATCCTCTGGGCTAAAGACCACTCAGCTTGTTATCAGTTCACAGTTCAAAAGGCAGTATTCATGATGCTATAGGGGTGCATTAGTGCGCATGGCATGGGTGACATGCACATCTGTGAAGGTACCATTAATGCTGACGTCTTTTTCAGAGAAGGCATTGCTTATTTCAGCAAGACGATGATAAACCACGTTCTTCAGGTATTACAACAGCATTGCTCCATATTAAAAGAGTCTGGGTGCTAAACTGACTGAACTGTTGAGCAGCTGAAATCCTATATCAAACAAGAACAGCAAAACATTTCACTTTCAAAACTACAGCAGTTGGTCTCCTCAGTTCCCAAAAGCTTACAGAGTGTTGTTAAAAGAAGAGGTGACAACACAGTGGTAAACATGCCCCTGTCCCAACTTTTTTGGAAAATGTTGTTGGCATCAAATTCAAAATGGGCATATATTTTTCACAAAACAATAATATTTCTCACCACAGGTCACCTCTCCACCTCACCTCAGTCCATCTTAAATGACGGGCCCAAAGAAGGTGGTGATGTTTCTGGGTCTTACTCATATTTGGTTTTCTCTTTGTATGGTAGAGTTTTAACTAGAATTTGTGGATGCAATGATGAACTGTCTTCACAGACAGTGGTTTTTGAAAGTGTTGCTGAGCCCATGCAGTGATTTCCACTACAGAATCATGTCTGTTTTTAATGCAGTGCTGCCTGAGGGCCCAAAGATCATGGCCAGCCAATACTGGTTTTTGGCCTTGTCTCTTGCATACAGAGATTTTTCCGGATTCTCTGAATATTTTATTGATATTATGTATTCTAGATGATGAAATCCCCAAGTTCTTAGCGGTTTTACATTGAGAAACATTCCTGAATTGTTGCACTATTTGCCCATGCAGTCTTTCGCAGAGTGGTGAACCCCTCCTCATCTTTGCAGTTGAATAAAGATAAAAGAGATTGTGCCTCTCACTGCTATTCCTGCAATAAAATAGACTAGTTGCCTATCTGGATTCAAGAGCCCTAAAATCTAAAGAACTAGCATGTAACCTTGGTGTACTAATGAACCTCAAAGGATCTCAGTTTTAGCAGTCATGTCAAAGCAGTACTAAATCAGCATTTTATCACCATAAGAACATCAACAAGATTTGAAATTTTTTGACTAAAGCAGACCTGGAGAAACTCAATCATACCTTTATTTCCAGGAGGATTGATCATAGTAATGGTCTCCTAACTGGACTCCCAAAAAAGACAATCAAACAGCTTCAGCTGCTCCAAAATGCAGCTGCCAGAATTCTCACTAGGAGTAAAAGAAGGCAACACATTAACCATCCATCCATCCATCCATCATCTAAACCGCTTATCCTTCTGGGTCGCGGTGGGGTGCTGGAGCCTATCCCAGCTGTCATCGGGCGGAAGGCAGGATAAACCCTGGACAGGTCGCCAGTCCATCGCAGGGCAGACAAACAGACATATACATCCACACACACACTCACACCTAGGGGCAATTTAGCACGTCCAATTGACCTGACTGCATGTTTTTTTTTGGACTGTGGGAGGAAACCGGAGTACCCGGAGGAAACCCACGCAGACACGGGGAGAACATGCAAACTCCACACAGAAACGACCCTGGTCACCCAGCCGGGAATCAAACCCAGGCCATTCTTGCTGTGAGGCGACAGCGCTACCCACTGCGCCACCGTGCCGCCCGCAACACATTAACCCCATTCTTAAATCCTTACACTGTCTAGCAGTCTATTACAGAACTGAGTTTGAGGTATTACTACTGGTCTATAAATTGCCTAATGGTCTGGGACCAGCGTATTTATCTGATATGCTGCAGTGATATGCGCTGAGCAGAACTCTCATTATGAACTAGTCTGTTAGTCTTGCCGAAGGTGAAGACTAAACATGGAGAAGCAGCGTTTAGCTACTAGGCTGCTCTTAAATGTGATCAGTTGACAAAGAGCATCAGAAGAGCCCCAACACTGGACACTTTTAAATCCATGTTTAAAACATTCCTATCTGAGCAGTTTTCAGCTCAGTTTAAAACACTTAGCTCTACAGCACTTTATCATTCTTATTTCATTTTTAGTTTGATTTTTAATTTGAATGAATCTTCTCTTTGTAAAATTGTTCGATTTCAAATTATAATTTGATTCATTTCTGTATTCCATCATCTGTATAGCAATCTGAATGACCACAGTGTATGAAATGTTTTATATAAATAAACTTGCCTTGTCTTGCCTCTCTCCTCATTTAAACAGAGAGGAGTCTGGTCTTGTACGACAGGAAATAACTGCCCTGCAGCATTTCCAAGATGGTTGCTGAGTGAACAGACTTTCCTACAAGGACTTCTGTAAAAACACCCATACCAACACCACACACACTACCATTCAGTGACCATGTTAGTGTCAGTGCTGTGCTGAGAATGGTCCACCTCTCATATAATATCAGGCCAGTGGTGGCCCTATGGTGGTCAGTTGGCTGATAGATTGTACAATGTACAAAGTGAACTTATATGATAGGTGTTTCTGATAAAATGACCGATGACTGTAGATAGTGTTTCTAATAAACTGTTAACTCAGTGTAGTTTGCTTTCTTGAGAGCATGCTTGTTCTTGTAAAATCTGTGATGAACAAGATAATTGTGCCCCTGCCCTCCCTTTCCTGGTGATTGCTCAATCATGGATTTTCATGTTCTGGTCCAACGTCTAAATCGGTTGTGGAGACATGTGATCAGGAGGGCTGGCTCTGGCCTGCGTAAACTATTTAAAACCAGAACATGAAGGAGTTGGACTCAAACCAGGAGTGAAATCAAAGCTCTGAAACAAGTGTCTACTTGTGCTGAATAGCATCCAAGGTGAGTTCCTTTGGCAGGTACATGCAACCAATATTGACATCTTTAAGTCTGTTGAGATGTTGAGTTCTTTTAAGTAGTTTTAAGAATGCTTTCACTATTTTCTTTCATACTGATGTTGATGTTGAATGAAATGTCATTGTATCTCTTTGTTTTCATTGTTAAACATCTTTAGCCATAACTTATGTCTTTATTCATATGTAGTAACACAGTAACATCCTTACTGGCTCCTCACTGTTTTGTGTGTGTAACAAAATATATGAAAAATGCTCTTGTCTTCTGCAGAATAATGAAGCCCCTGCTTGTGACTCTCCTTCTTGCCATGCTGTTGATGAGTGGTGAGTGTTGAAGGTGCCACTTAAAAGAAAAGCCTGTTTCACATTTATAAGCAACATCATGTCCATCAATCACAACCAGAAACCTTGTAAAAAAACTACTGTTTGCAAACTGCAATCATTCTTAATGTTGTATGATGTTCACTACTTTGAATACGTCTTAGGCCACTTTAGAAAATCATATGTAAAGTTGTTTTCTGGGCAGTAAGTGTAGTTAAATAAATAAATAAATAAATAAAAAGACATTGTGATTTTGATAGCTTACATAATTGTTTATTTGCATGTACTGTAATGTTACATAATGTTTTTACAGGTGAAAAAAACACACTACAAGGGTTTTAACAATTTTCATGGCCAGCCTAATGCTACATTCGACTAACGCTCATAGCTCAGATTTTCTGAACTCTAGGATAATTTCTGACCTCTAGGACCAACTTGGAAAAACCAAAAAAAGCATCCCATCAGCTGGGAATGTCTGCTCGGAAAGTCTGGCATGTGATGTCATATCAATACAGCTGTTGACACTGTCATCAGTAATAAAGTACTTTTAACTGAGATGACAGTAATGTTCGCTTTTGATGGTGTAAGATACATCAGAGTTGTTGATTCTTTTTATAACATTGACCATAATGTTCACTGTTTTGAGAAGGTAAATACAGCATTGATGTTAAAGTTGTCACTCACATCACTACTGTTAGCTGGTAAATCACCTTCATGCAGGAATACTAGTTTTTTCCTACTTTGGAGCTTAAACGTAGTGTTGGAAAATTCCAAACTCTGACTTCCCACGAAGTTATGAGGAATGCAGCCTAAGAATTTTCACACAATTTTGCATAATTACTGTTTATTTGCTGAATGTAACAAATTAAAAAAAAACATAAAATGTGGTCTGTGCAAAAGTTATGTCTCATTTTATATTTTTAAGTTGTATTTTTACAACAAGTTAAACTAAGGAAATGAACCAAAATCATGCACAAAATGTACAGGAGTTTGTGTTAACCTCTTTTCACTTAGAAAATCAACAAAACATAATTTAGCCATTTTGCATACTACTATCTTTTTATATTAATATTTGTATTTTTGTTCCATTTGATACTATTAATGATGCTCATATGTTGTTTTAGTGCACCTTTTAATACATTTTATATTTTATTTACTGTTGCCTTATTGGGTTGGACAAAATGAAATTGACAGTTTTGATTCGTTTAAAAAACGTTAACTGTTCCTGAGTGCTGTGCTCCTCACTCTGTTGCAGGTTCTGCCCCTCTGTGTGTAAAGGGAAACCACAAGTGAATGCCCATGACCTTTGACACTTAAGAGGGCACTGCATTAAAAACCTGCATGTTTCTGTGATGGATATCACCACGTGGGTTCAGGAATACTTTGAAAAACCACTGTCATAACTTGCACATGTGTATAAGCACCATTAATGCTGAACGCATTTTGGAACAACATGTGCTGCCTTCCAGATGATGTCTTTTTCAAAGACATTCATGTTCATTTGAACATGACTATACCAAGCCACATTCTGCACATGTCACAAAAGCATGGCTGCGTATTCAGAGTGTGGGTGCTAGACTGACCTGCCTGCAGTCCAGAACTGTCTCCCAGGATCCCAATGTGTCACAATGTGACTTATTAAGCTCAAAATACTACAACAGCCATACAATTGCACAGCTGAAGACTTGTATAACAGACAAATGACAAAAATTCCACTTTCAAAACTGGATCAGTTGGTGTCTTCAGTCTCCAAGTGATTATTAAGTGTTGTTAAAAGGTGGTGATGTAACACAGGGGTAAGCATGCTCCTGTCACAACTTTTTGAAATGTGTTGCTGGCATCAAATTTGGAATGAACATATCTTTACAAAAACACTGAAGTTTAAAAGGTAAAACATCAAATATTGTGTTTTTTGTACTGTTTTCTATTCAATACAGGTCAAACAGAATTTACTAGTCAGTGTTTTCTGTTTTATTGGCATTTTACACACTGTCCCAGCTTTTTTGGAATTGGGGTTGTAATATTTATTTCTTTAGCACATTTAAAACAACTTCCATTGCACCAAAGGGCTTTACACAAAAGAAATCATATGAGGTCAAAATGAAAAGGGAGAAGAAACAAGATAAAACAATGAGGGAAAAACAACAGACAACGTTCATCCCAGGAAAAAGGTTAGATGCTTAAAAACAAGGAAGAAGGGAAACACAAGACAAAACATTCACATCAGATGATGTCAGATATTCTAATAGCCAAACAATATAAGTATGTGTCCAGATTAAGGACTGTAGGGAAGACACACACCTGATCACAGTAGGGAGACAGCTCTATAGCATTGGGCCTGCTATTGAGAGAATCCAGTCACCCTTTTTCTTTGATTGAGGCCCGTTAAGAGAAGCTGATTTGAGGATCTCAGGGGTCTTGATAGTATATGACTCTTAAACAAGTCTGATATATAAATGGGGGGCCAGTTCGTTCAATGCTTTAAAAACCCACAATAAAATCATTTTAACAAATAATCGAGTAAAAGAAAAACAATACAAATGGACTTAACTGAACAATAAAATATCATACAGAGCCTTAAAGATACTTTATTGGAAAAAATCACTAGGAATAACTACACTCTAAAAACTGATGTGTTTATCAGACTCTGTTTCTGTAAAAGAGAACAGTATGAGAATTTAAAATATGCATCATCGTCATCATCACCATCCAAACTGCTGATCTGATCACTGCAAGTTCATCAAGAAGATGAATTTTAATCTCTCTCTAATGATGACAGTTCTATCCAAGTATTACTTGTTTACTGAGACCTGAGCTGACTAATAAATGTGTTTCTTCTCTATTTCTCCTCAGTTTCCTATTTCAGGAGGTGCATCCGCATGTCTGACTGCCTCATCTTGCAGGCCAGTCCTTACATTAACGCCCTTTGCTGTAAGACTGACCTTTGCAACTAGGTCACAAAGAGTGGACCATGCTTGAAAATGGCAACTAACAAATTCATCAAAATTGTAGATTTAGTAATAAAATCTGATCTGCTTATGATTTAAATGGCTGTGACTTTGCAATTTTTATGCATTCAGCAACAGCATAAGCAAAATGTGCATGATTACCTAACTGAGTGTTCCAAATGAGGCTAAATGAATATTTCAAAATACAAAAACACCTGAACTAATAAAAAACTTCCAATTTATTACTACTATTATTACTACTACTACTGCTAATAATAATAATTATAATAATTATAATAATAATAATAATAATGAGCGAAGTACTTATTCGACTTTCTTAAATCAATGCAATTGAATTGCAGGCCATTCCTTTCATCAATGTCCGATGCTGTCAAATCAGTGTATCATGATGTGTTGATGTATTTTTATTCCAAACAATTCTGCATTTCCCTGCTCTCCTATTCTACTTGTGCTCTGATCACTTTATCTTACTTTATCTAGCTGAGATTTTTCAATTGTCTCACATAAACTCATCTCCTGTGCATTAACAATTTTATGCCAGAATGAACTGATGGGAACATAAAAGTCTGTGGACATGAGCATTTGATTCAGCTTCAAAAGCCTTTTATTTTTGGAAAACAGCCTAAAATATAAATATGTCACACTTTTCCAACTCAGCTAATCCACTTTATCAGAATTAGGATCCAAAATACAGTTTTCACTGTGATATCCCTCATCATCTGCCAGGCTGTTTACTATTGCCAAGCACACCAATGGCTTCCTCTTAATGAAGTAATAAGCAGTTACCCCAGCAGAGCACAATACTGATTTCCTGTCTGTTGAAGGGTTTCATTAGTTTTTATGCAACCTAATTCACAACATCATGTCCTAACAGTCAAACACAATAAACTGACACTCTCAACTTTCTTACACTCAATTTCTGATATTCACATGCATTTGTGATGGAACAATATGAAACATGAAACATGAAAGGGTAAGAAAATGTAAAAAAATGTTGAAACTGTTAGAACGGTGTGTTTGTCTTTTTTCAAAACAAAACCTTAGAAAAATAGGGCCACGTTTATGCTGGATGTTAGATACTGGAACTTTGCTGTGAGAATTTGATTGTACCACAAGAGCACTAATGAGGTCAGGTACTGATGTTCGATGATCAGTTCTGGGTCACAAACCCCACTTCATCTCATCCCAAAGGTCCACTCACTCCAGCGGAGCAGTTTAGCTGCTCCTCAGCCCAGTGCTGGGGAATTTTATACCCCTCTAGCCAACACTTGACATTGGGCATGGTGACATTAGGCTAATATTCAGCTGCTCTAGAGCATCCAATTGTATTGGCAGTGCTTTTCTAAGGTGATCATACAAGCTGTTTGTGCACAATTGAACACCTGTGTCAGCAAGTAGCTGAATTCACTAATATGACTGCATATTCTTGGACATTTAGTTTATATTTAATACATATGGGACATATTATTATTACATATAGGTACTTACATATATAATGCACATGGGGCTTTTTTATGACCCCATGTCAACATAAATTTGTATGATATAAAAAAGGTGTGTGTGTGTGTGTGTGTGTAATCGAGCTAAATAAACTTTGTATGAATCAGTGCTTTGTTTCAGGTTTGGCTTTGGAATTTACCACCGTTTGTCTTATGAAGCAATGTTTACATGAAAGATCTGATGTTACAAACCCCGTGTAGTGAGAAAGCTGATGTCAGAAATAGTTGGCCTGAAGCCTGAAGCCTGTAACCTGGACATGAAACCTAGAACCTGGTGTCTGAATAAATCCACTGTCAGACATCACCTCCATCACTGTTTGGAAGAGATCCACAAAAGAAGCCTTTTCCTAAAAGCAAGCCACAAAATGCAGCACCTGAACTTTACAGAAGGTCATTGGAACTACAAATGCCATTGTTGAGATGTGGTAAGATGAGACAAAAATGGACCTTTTTGGTCATGATCATCATGATTGCACGATTGGCGACTGCATACAATGAAAAGCAGCTGATACCCACTGTCAAATATGGTGGTGGATCATTGCTGTTAATGGTCCAGGAGCTCTGGTCGAATCAAACCTTTTAGCAAGACACTGACTCCGAATAAACATCAAAATCCACCCAGAAATGGACCACCCACTGAGCACATATTCATTGTTTGGTGGGTCGTTATTGATTTGAGTTTTTACACACTGTATACATTTTTTGGCCACTTTGTTAGAAAACATTACATGTGGGTGTACAGTTAGAGACAACATCTCTTTTTTCTATGTACAACTTGTGTTAGTCATCCTTTAGTCCTTTATCAGGGGTCAGACCATAGGACTGCTGGTTTTGGTCAACCTAGTAGTGTAAGTGAAGTGTGTAAAAACATGCATACCAACAACACACACTACCTTTCAGTGACCATGTTGGTGTCACTGCTGTGCAGAGAATAGTCCACCAATCAAATAATATCTGACCAGTGGTGGTCCTGTAGTGGTTGGTTGGCTGACAGATTCTACAGCTTATAAAGTGAACCTTATATGGAAGGTGTTTCTGTTGAAATGGCCAATGACTGTACATACATGGTCAGTGTTTCTAATAAACTGTCAACTCTTAAAAAAACATGAGTGACTCATCATGAAAAATGCAATACTTCAAGCATAATAGAAGTTCTGCCTTAAACATCCACAGGAAATATTAAAAGTAGCTTGATAATTTACTCAGCATTTCTTTATACCATGTAACAGTGTTGATTAACACTAGATTCGGAATTATGTTATTATCTTAAGAAATCTTGTTTCCTTTTCTTAGTGATCATGTTTCTTTTAGAAGTAGAATTGTTCGAGGTTTCATGTAGCTTTATGTCACCACTGTGTGAAATCAAAGTACTTCAAATATAATAGACTCTATGTTCATTAGTTTCTGGGAATATCTACCGTTAAAACAGTGATAATGCTTATCCATGAAATTGCATGCTTATAATGTTCTTTTGCCTAATGCCATGCAACCTCTGGAAAATGTATGTATGTAAAGTTATTTTGTGATGAATTTGTGCAAATACCTAAACAAAGAGATTGCATATTCATGAGCTCCACCCACAAGAGGTCTGTTCATATAAGGACAGATAGACAAAGAAGGAGAGAGGGAGAGAGAGAGAGAGAGAGATAAGTAACTGCCAAGAAAGGACAGGCAAGCCCTCCCTCCTTTGCACTTTAAATCTGCAGATTTTTTTATTTTTGTTTCGTGTCTCAGTTTGTCGTGTCTTCATTGGTTTTCTTTGCTTATTTTTAGTCACACAGTAATCCGACAGAAGTGCCATCATTAGACTTGAATAGTCTAACTCAGCTGTGTTTGTTTTCAAGTTCCGTCAATTCATTTTGAAAGTCCTGATTGGCCAACGACAGGTCATTGCAAAATTTCCAAGCATAGTTTAAGAGGTACGGACAGAAGTAAACCAGCAGCCTCACTTCACCAGCATCTGCTGAAGAACTGGAGTCTGCCATTCTCACGAGAGGTCAACACAAGCCAGCCACGCGGTTCACCGTGCTCATTTGTCCAGGCCGGATTCTGTGGTGTTTCTAGGGTAACGTCCCTGAGGACTCTGCTGTGATCCAAGGACCCTCGTCTAACCAGTGTGCAGGCCTGCAGCTCTCCTCCTCAGGCTTCAACGCTCTAAGGCACACTTTCATTTCTTCTCTATATGATTCAGTCTCGGTGTTGTGTTACTCTGCCCCCCCTTTTAATTAAAACTGAGGTCAGTCATTTTGCTAGCATTGATATTCATTCTGTGTACCGCTCAAACGCCATAAAATAACTCTTTTTGAGTCTCAGCTAACTACAGTATGTTCATCTGGTGAACCTCATAGTCTCTAGTTTGTCTCTGCGTACCAATTAATCTAGTATTTAGTGCCTATTAATAAATGACCCATTATTAAAGTTATCACTTGTTGGGTGTGTGTGTAATTATCACAATCTGATCAACTGATCCCTGGCTACAGGAACCCTGACCTGAGATGAATGAAATGTCATTGCATCTCTTAGTTTTCATTGTGAAAGTTCTGTACCCATAACTTATGTCTTTGTTTGTATGTAGTAACAGAGTAACATCCTCACTGATTTGTTTATGCATTAAAATGTGAAGAAAAATGCTCCTTTCTGCTGCAGAATAATGAAGACCCTGCTTGTGACTCTCCTTCTTGCCATGCTGTTGATGAGTGGTGAGTGTTGAAGGTTTCACTTCAGTTAAAAGAAAAGACAGTTTCACACTTATAAGCACCATCACATCCATCATTCCCAACCAGAATCCTTATGAAAAAAATACTATTTGCAAACTGCAATCATTCTGTATGTTATATGATGTTCAGCACTGTGCAAAAGTCTTAGGCCACTTTAGTAAATCATATGTAAAGTTGTTCATTTGGCCTGTGAGTATAGGAAAATAAATAATTAGTAAAAATGTATATATAATATATTTATATAATTATAAAATTTGATCACTGATCTGATCTGATCACTTAACCATTTTAAGACCTCTCAACATAGTCTAATCTTTACAGTTACCTCCTTCCTTTATTAATTTAAATCAGGTGTGATGCTGATGGAATTTAATGAGTGCAGACAATGACTGGAAAACGCAGAGACGTCAGGAACCAAACCTGAGCTCAATCACTTTTGTGTAAACAAGAAATTCTTGGTACTCTGTTTTGCGGTTTACGTTCATATGCATGTACTGTAACAGTAAATGACGTCATATCAACGTGGCTGCTCACATTGTCATCAGTAATAAAGTATTTCTGTACTTGTAACTGAGATTACAGTAGTATTTGCTTTAGATCGTCAGAATTGCTCAATTTTAGAAGATTCATTTTCAAGTTCATTGTATAACATTGACCATAAAGTTTGCTGTTTTGGGAAGGTAAATACATCATGGATGTTAAAGTTGTCACATCACTACTGTTAGCTTGTTGCCAACTCGCCTTCACAGAGAAGTACAAGGTTTTCCTACTTCAGAGCGCAAAAAGTGTTAGACAATTTCAAGCTCTGACCTCCCACATCTGAGTTAAGAGAAATACAGCCTAAGACGTAGCACCATTTTGCACAGTGACTGTTTTTGCACAGTGACTGTTTATTTGCTGAATTTTACATATTGAAAAATAAAAACATAAAATGTGGCCTGTGCAAAAGTTATGGCACCTTTTCTATTCTAAAAGTTTTGCAATGTGTTAAACTATCATACACAGAATGTCTGTAGAGGATAACTTATTTTCACTTATAAAAGCAACAAAATGTAATTCAACCAGGGTTTTACAAACTTCTGCATACAGCTGTATTTTTAATGTTTTTATTTTTGTTCCTGTTGATACTACTAATGATGTCCCTATGTTGTTTGATGGACCTTTTTATAGACTTTATATTTTATTTACAATTACCTTATTGGGTCATTGGGTGCCCTAAAGGTGCTTATAAATAAGTCTTATAAATAAAAGTCAAGTTTTGATGCATGTCTAAAAAAAGGCTGACAGTTCCTGAGTGTTGTGGTCCTCACTCTGTTGCAGGTTCTGCCCTGAAATGTAACCGCTGTGTTCCGCGTCCTGGGGGCCGTTGCACTACCACCATGGAAACCTGCGGCTTTAAGCAAGACGCCTGTGTCTCCGGGATGTTCACAAAATACCCCTGTAAGTCTCTTCTTCTACCTCATCCCTCAGCTACGTCTGCTCCCAGTTTGCATGTCAACATACCAGAGGAGACACTGTCAAAAGACTAAAATTATTACTAGGAAAGACTCATCATACTTCAGTGTATAGAAACCCTGATGAGCCCACAAGATTTTATACATTTACAAACTATGAAATCTTTTGAAAGGCTTTAAAAAGACTTTTAAAGACTTTAAAAACTATACTGGGCAAAAAAGCCAGAAGATTTCTTTATCAGGATCTGGAAAGCAGTTGGAGAATTCGAATAAGCATCATCATCATCGTGCAAACTAACAGCTGATCACTGCCAGTTCATCAACACTCAAAAAATGATGGTTTTAGCTAAAAATGTTCTGCCAAGTGGTTCCACACAACTGTGTTAAGTAGCCTTCAGGATGCTCAAATGAGCAGCATGTACTCAATGTGGTTGTGTTTTACTAATTAAAGTAGAAAAAGAACAAAGTTAATAGCTTTACGTTGGATCTACATAAGTTACAGAATAAATTAATGTTGTGCTACTGAGCTGTTGTAGAAATACACTCAGCAGTCGGTTACATGGTAACTCACTCACACAGCTAACAACAACATGTCTGAGTGTACTGGGATTTGAACTGACTATTAAAAGTGTTTCTACTCTTTTTCTCTTCAGTTACCCATTTCAGGAGGTGCATCAGTCTGTCTGACTGCCTCATCATGCAGGCCACCCCTACAATCAAAGCCCGCTGCTGTCAGACTGATCGTTGCAACTAGGTCACCGAGAGTGGATCACGACTGAAAATGCCAAACAGCAAATTCATCAAGATTCAGTAATAAAATCTGATCTGCTTATGATTCAAATGGCTGTGACTTTGTTATTATTTTAAAGCATTCAGCAACAGTAATATAATATACAATAATAACAATAATAATAATAATATGCAAAGTGCTTTACTGCAGCATAAACACACCACATAAAACAGCATTCTGCATTAAAAATCACAGTTGAATGAAAGGTACAATAATAGTAATACAAAACAATTAAATAGAAATTTAAATCAATTCACACTGAAATTAAATGGAGAAATAAAATGTGCTTATCAAGGGGGTCTGATATGGAAGTCATGCACAATTTTGTGTAATGTGTAAATGAACATTGCAGAACTGAATCACTGTCACAGACTCCACCTCCCATTTGGCTCCTTAGTCCTGATTGGCTCTTTCTGCTCACTTATAATCACATACCTGCTTTTTGTTTATGACTAACTTTTTTTTTACTTTACTGAATAGACTAATATTATCTATATTAAATAATACTAAATGCCTGTCATTGCTATTGTAACACAATCTTGCATCTCCATCATGGTAACTCTGCAAGGGAAATTTTTAAAAATCATCATTTTTGATGAACGTCAATGTAACAAGATTTTATGGCAAATAATTTTTGGACCATTTCTCTTAAACCATTCATCAAATTTTAACTCAATGTAAAGTGCAGCTGGTATTTGCAAATGATGTAAAACAATATATTGGTGATGCAATATTAGTATTATTATTATTATTATTATTATATATAATAATAATAGCAATAATAATAATAATAATAATAATAATAATAATAATAATATTTCCTAAATCGATGCAATTGAATTTCCATTTTCAAATCAACATATCATGATGTATTGATGTATTTTTCTCTCAACTAATTCTGCATTTCTCTGCTCTCTTATTCAGCTTGTGCTGTAATCATTGTTACTTTTTCTAACCAAGCTTTTTTAATTGGCTCCTATAAACTCATCTCCTGTGTAATAACAATTTTACGCCAGAATAAACTGATGGAAACACAAATGTCTGTGCACATTAGCATTTCATTGAACTACAAAAGCCTTTTATTCTTTGGAAAACAGCCTAAAATTCCAATGTGTCACACTTTACCAACTCAGCTAACTTCACCAGAATTAGGATCCAAAACACCGTATTCACTCTGTGATGTTCCTCAGTCTGCCAGACTGTTTACTATTGCCAAGCACACCAATGTCTTCCTCTTAATGGTGTAATAAGCAGTTACCCCAGCAGAGTGTGACACTGATTTCCTGTCTGTTGAAGGGTTACATTTATTTTTAAGCAACCTAATTCACAACATCATGTCCTAACAGTCAAACACGATAAACTGACACCCAACATATCACAGGTGGCCCCAGTGCCAAAACTTATGTTAAAGGTTTTGCAGCTCTGACCACTGCATTCTTTATGGACTTATTTTCATTACAGTATCAGACGTCCTGGGCCAACCAATGAATCCATCTCCTCTTACAGCGAACTGTGGAGTACTACCTGAATTTGCTCAACTGCCGACCCACAAGTCAGATTTTGTAGTCTCTGTAGCACTGGTTGCTATATGCTTGATTCTTTTACACTGAAAAAAGCACAACCCTCCTACTTACACTCACTGGATTAGGGATGTTCTAGCTTTCTATCAGTAAATATTACAAAGTATGGTAGCCTTTCCTGTCCTATTTGGATACAGTAAGTCTAGACCAGTCAGAGTGAACTGTCCTTTCTTTAACCCTTTGATAGTTTTATAACACACTTCTATTACTTAAGAATAGCTCAGCCAGTTTACATTGAACATTGAATTGGAGTTGCCAATTTATTAGATATTGGCCATTTTTGGCCAAATTTTATTAGAAACACCTGCTATAGAGGTGCACTCTTTCGGTATACAGTTGCTGACTGCCACACTTCTGTTGCAACACATTTTGTTGTTGCACCTGTGGAGCAGATATTACTTGGACGGAGGATCATTCTTGATTTGGGTTTTTCCACACTGTATACACGTTTTGGCTGCTTTTTTTAGAAAACAACACCTTGAAGGTGCACAGTTAGAGACTACAACTCCTCTTTTTTCAAGGCACTATTTGAGTTAGTCATCCTTTAGCCCTTCATCAGGGGTCAGACCACAGGACTGCTGGTTTCGGTCAACCTAGTAGAGTAATTGAGTGTAATTAAAAACACACAAACCAACACACACAACCATTCAGTGACCATTCAGTCGGTGTCACTGCTGTGCAGAGAATGGTCCACCACTCAAATAATAACTGGCCAGTGGTGGTCCTATGGTGGTTGGTTGGCTGACAGATTGTACAACCTACAAAGTGGAATTATATGCTAGGTGTTTGGATAACACTTTCTTAGGATTGGTCCTTTTTAGAAGATTAATAAACTATTAACAGTTTATCAGTAACATACCAGTGAAGTAGCAGTAGTGCAGCATCTAAACTGAGGTAAATATCTTGTAGATGTACTGTTTATACATTACTTACATTAGTAGATGTATTGTTAATATGTTACATGAAGTAGACTTTATAGACGTATATAGCAAAACCTAACTTTACCCAAGCTTACCTAAAACCTAACCCTCACCCTGACCCTAATCCTAACCCTAACCTTTACATCAACCCAAAACGTAATCCTAACCCTCACCCTGGCCCTAATCCTAACCCTAACCTTTACATCAACCCAAAACGTAATCCTAACCCTCACCCTGGCCCTAACACTAACCCTAACCTTAACCTCAACCCAAAACCTAATCTTAACCACAACCCTAAAAAAAAACTAATCCAGTTAAGCTCCAGTTAGAGAATGGTGTCTGTGTGTCTGCAACAGCCTGTTGAGGATATTGAGTTGGTCTGTATTAAACCTGTTACCTGTTCAGTGATTTCTCAGATGAACATCTACAGATATGAACTTGGACACTTCAAATAAAGAGAAAAACATCTGAATTCAGCAGATTATAAACAAATTTTATTTACACAGATAATTAAAAGTCTTGATAATCTACTGAATGTATTCACTGCTGCTACATAATTGATATGTTATTGATATGTTACTGAGAGTCTGTTGAGTGTTCATCTAAAAAGGACCACTCAAAATAAAGTATCACTGCTGTTTCTGATATAGTGGCCAATGAGTCAGTGTTTCTAATAAACTGTTAAATCAGTGTTGTTTGTTTTCTTGAGAGTAGTTCTACTGAAGCTCGTCCTTGTCAAATCCACGATGAATAACATAATTGTAGCCCCCCTTGATGATTGCTCAATCATGTATTTTCAGGTTGTGTGTCAATATTTAAACTGGTGGTGGAGACGTGATCAGGATGGCTGGCTCTGGCCTGAGTAATCTGTTTAAAGGCGGAACATGAGTGGGACTCAAAACAGGGGTGTAATCAAAGCTCTGAAACAAGCATCTACTTTTGCTGAATAGCAGTCAAAAGTGAGTTCTTTTGGCGAGTACATGCAATACATATTTAGATATTAGATATTAAATATTTTGCCATAACTTATGGCTTTGTGTGTATGTAGTGCCACAGTAATGTCCTAACTGATATATTTATGCATGAAAATGTAAAGAAAAATGCTCCTTTCTGCTGCAGAATAATGAAGACCCTGCTTGTGACTCTCCTTCTTCTGGCCATGTTGTTGACAAGTGGTGAGTGTTGATGGTTCCACTTCAGTAAAAGGAAAAGCCTGTTTCACACTTATAAGCAACATCACATCCATCATTCCCAACCAGAATCCTTATGAAAAAAACTGTTTGTAAACTGCAATCTTTCTGTATTTTATATGTTGCACCATACTGTGCAAAAGTCTCAGGCCACTTTAGAAAATCACGTGTAAAGTTGTTTTTTTGGGCAGTAAGTATAGTAAAATAAATTTAAATAAAAAATAAATAATTCATTGTGATTCTCTTAATATAGTCCAGCATTTACAGTTATCATTCAACACCTGCTTTAGCGAATAAGTCCTTTACTAATTAAATCAGCTGTGCTGCTGATGGAATTTAACAAGTCCAGACAATGACTGGAAAACACAGAGACGTCAGGAACCAAACCTCATCTCCAAGATATCAATAACTTTTTTGTAAACAAGAAATTCTTCGTACTCTTTGTTGCTGTTTATGTTTATTTGCATGTACTGTAATGTTATATAATGATTTTACAGGTAAAAGCAAGAGTTTTAAACAATTTTCATGGCTGGCCTAATGCTGCGCTCGACTAAAGCTTGTAACTACAAATTTCTGAAGTTTAGGAAAATTTTTGACCTCTAGGACCAACTAGGAAAAACCATAGAAAACATCCCATAAGCTGGGAATTCCTGCTTGGAAAGTCAGAGTTTAGCATATGATGTCATATCAACACGCAAGCTGCTCACACTGTCATCAGTAATAAAGTACTTTTCTACTTTTAACTCAGATTACAGCAATATTTGCTTTAGTTATCTACTAAAATAGGTAATCCATTCAAGTTACTGATCATTTCTCTCAAAATGTACCACAAATATATATATTATTAACCCTGTTCTGTGGTGTTTAGAGCTGTAGCCTTACAGCAAGGTTAATGCTAGCTAAGCTATTAGCTTAACTCATTAGCTTAACTAATAAGATCCAAACAACCTAGTACATATTGGATTTGACTAACTGGTGCTCTGCTATCAGTGTAGACGATAAAAATTAAAACGGTGAGAACAAAGTCAACTGATTGATGGTGGAGTAACAGAAAGCCAAAATTGGACCTGTTCTGTAATGTTAGTGTTGCTAGTGCAGTAGCCTGCTAGGCAGTAAAAGCCCCCCTCGTTGTGGAGATCTGTGCAACCATAGTAGCCAGAACGACCCAAAATCATGTTTTTTCTGTGCATTGTTGAGTGCTCCACACTATTTATGAGGTTTTTGTCAGAATTGATTGGTGAATTTAAATATGTTTTTGAAATAGTAGTTTGACCTTCAGTTTCAAGTGTTTTGGGCTACGTTTACACAGCAGGTAAAAGTGGCCCAAATCTGATTTTCTCACTAAATCCGATTTTTTTTTA